TCCAAATTATTGTATACTTTTTCTCAATGACAGCTTCACAATGACTGAAAGACATTTAATGATATCTATAGTAGCCTACACGTCTGAGATATTCAGTCAAAGCCCATTTTGATATCTTAATCCTTGTATCAGTCTTTGTCTTAATTTTTGTCTTAGGAATTTTCAAGACTGGTCAGTTTATACAGTTTAAGTTTAATTCTAAGAATTAAGGCTAGTTATGTGATGTGTGACATACAATATACAATGTTACCAATCGTAACGTAATTGTTCCAAATTTGTACAATTTCAACAAATGCGGCTTATTTCAGATTCATTTTTGATAATAATGAACCGTACTACAATAAAAATCACATATTTTTCCAGTCACCATCAACCACCAATGTCAACAATTAACTGAATTCAATCAAACCATCAACCGTATTTGTATTTGCTGGCCATTCAACTGAACATGAACATCAATAGTCAAAATTTAACGAGAAAGGCTAAGACAAGGACATGAAACATTATGTAAATGCTTTTATGGAAACATAAACATTTAACTTTTTCTTAAGACTAAAATTGAGACTGAAATTAAGACAGAGGCAAGGACCAAGATGTCTAAATCGGACCTTAATTAATAGAAATGAATCATATTTTTTACTTCAATTATCGAACCTTCTTTCATTGAGAAATACAAAACTAATCTCACAAAAAGACTTCAAGTCAATCCTTATAATTGGTTTAATGGTTTACCAAAATACACCCCCCTCCCTTAAAAACAACCTACTTCAGAACTGTCCATTTCAAAATACTTTCATTCAAAAGATCTTATAAATTTTGATACAAAGAGTATGGAAAACTGTTCTGACTTTTCTGCTGTTACAATTCATAAACAAATTTTGGGATTTCTCATTTCACAAATAGAGAAATAAGAATAAAAATGAGGAATATTTCCAGAACTACCATGGCATTACTACAAAGGCTAATAATGAAATGTGCAATAAAACTTACCTAAATCATTTGCACCTACAATTTGTACAAGTCTAGCATACTGAGTATTTGTTAGTCCCAAACCACCTAAATCTTGAGGTACTTGAAGGGCAAATGCGCCTAGTTCCCAGAGACCTTTGAGTGTATTTTCTTCCACAGTTTCTAATTGGTCATTTTTGAATGGATCATTCACTTCCTAAATTCAAATGCAATATTTGTAGAAAAGGACCTATTCAATGAATTCTGAATGATTGTTATTCCGCAAATATTGTTTCCACATTTTCTGAGATGAAAGAAACAGTACATCTATTTCATCAAAATCCAAGTCAATCAACACTGTAGTAAAAAAATTACATGGTTTTCAGATATACCTCTTCCATAATCTAGTCCAACATAAAGATCATTCGTAAAGCCAGGAAAAGTAGGTAGTGGAACTTATTCAGAACCTTGAGGAACACCCAAAATAAAAAAATAAGTGAAAAATTGTAAGTTATTGTAAAAGACATACTGTTTCCTACTGAGTAATTTATTAGAAAAACCAACAGAACTTGATTTTTTTGCAAACTGTTGAGGTGAATAAAATACATTCAATTTTAACTTTTATATATCTAACCTCAAAAAATTTTGTAGTTGGTTCTACAAGCATTTGAAGGGTATCCCTTTGCTCTTCATCTAAAACGTTTGGAAAGGGGAATACTTGTCTTCCCTCTACTTGCCCTCGAAATATATTCATGACAAATGAATGATTTTCTGAAGCAGAGGGTGTAGTTTTTTCATCATTTTGGACGGTTTTTAACTTTATTGAAGTAGTGAAAAAGTATCTGAAATCAGTCAAAAACTCAAATATAGGTCAAGATAGTCTAGCATTTATTACCACATACCTTTTCAGAGAAACATTTTGTAATTTGTTTTGATTTTGAAAACAAGTTCTTGCTAATCGCCACATTTTTTATTATAATCTTGCTAAAATACTAAAACACTTTCGAAATCTATTGTAAACCGAACCTAGTTCATTAATTTTCAGCAATAATATGAAATAGAAAATTTGGAACTACCAAATTAAATCAAAGAAATATATGTTTGTCGAACTTTGGACTCTGGCCTACATCTCCTCTCTCTTTCCTCACAGTCCTCACACCCAGCTAATAGATGTGGTTGGGTGAACTCTGGTCTCGTTGATTTTTTTAAATACCCAGTCCAAAAGTCCACGATTGAATTTTCGAATATTTTTGAAAGAATGGTGCTTGGTTTGTATTTGTCGAACCATTGAATACTCAGACGTAACACTTCTGTATATAATGCATCGGATCAATCATTGTACGAAAAATGTATATTAACCTTTTGCACTTTGAACAACAGTTTCATTACATTCAAGTATTTCAAAGGGAGCTTTTCGAAATGAAAACAATATTTTTTGAAAGGATTTAAAAATGTAGTATGTCAATAAAAATAAAACAATTTAATTTCTGTAAATGAGATCGCCATATTCAAATTGCTTCCGATTAGGTATTTAGGTTTAGATTAGTTTAATGTGTTACGAGGTTGTCTATCTCTCATGTTATTGGCTTTTGCTTCTATTCAGGCGCATTAAACCTTCCGTATTACGAGTTTATTTCCCAGAATAGTTAACATCAAGTAATAACTACCAATTTCTAAGATTATTAGATAACTGATAAATCTCTATATATGTNAAAACAGATTAGCTCGTTTGGCGAGTGATCTTTCAAGTCAGGCAAAAATGAAACTCTGCCAAACACTGAAAACCTGATTCGGATTGCGGCGGGGCCGGCGAAGACTATTGTGCTCTGCTGTTTCGTCGTCTTCCAAACAGAAACGGCACTCACTGCTTTCCAACATCTTCATATAGAATAGCAGAATTTATATTTTTACTTGGCCATGACATTGATTTTGGTCATATGGAAGCTGTGAATCTTCTGTCATCTAACAAATACTCAGAAAAACAAATTGTAAGAACTGTATACACACATATTTAGATATTTACCAGAAATATCTTTTGGTGGAGATTTCGAAAAGAATATTCAAACTGAAAACTGGTTTATGCAACACTATCTGAGAAATAAATCTAATGACTTATTTGTAAGGTAGTATTGGAAACTGTCATTGAAATAATGTAAAGAAAACACTTTCAACGGCAAGGCAGATCAAGTTTTTGACTTCAAAACCATGTACAAACAATTTTTTTTCAAAATCTGTAGGATATCTGTACATTTACTTCCAGCTTTTAACTTTCAATAATGATTTTCGAGCCTTTTGGAACTGTTCTTGATCAAAGGTGTCAAATAGGTCATCCTTCTCTTCATTATCAACAATTTTATATTCAATAATTTATTATTACTTTCCGAAAACCAACAAATAAATACTCTTTTCCAAAATTTGTCTATCGTCAATTGATATCTAAATTGTCAAAAGTAATTTGAGAACGTACACATATTCTCACAACATATCTCGCTAAAGAAAGTTCATTTCCTTCTACTTCTCCGTCTTGATACAAGAAATGTGGGAATCTTACGAAGATTCGATTTTATTACAAATGTTTGGAATACAAACGGATTAATTTTGAAATTAATGAACATTATAAAAAAATGAACATTATAAAAATTCCTGTGGTCAATGACAGTTGTAAATATTTCAAAGATTTCTAATTAATGAAGGAAACGTAGCAGGTCCTTTTTTATGATCAAAAAAGAAGGATTGGGTCTATCAACCATGTTATAAGTTTAACAGCTCCATTTTTTTGTTACATCGCTGTTTCATGTGTCATCGTTATTTTTATTTGACGATTGTTGAAGATGAATGTTCTCCACACTCACCAGACTCCAAACTATAGCAATACTCTCAAAGTTTGCCCTGGGCGTAAATGGGTAGTAACCCGAGTCTATCTATAATTTTTTTTATGGGTGCTTCACTATTTCTTGATTTATTTCCATTCTTTCAATCAAGCTGTTATGTTTACAATCTAAATGCCTAACAGGTGTTCCTACTCAGCTTTTATATTTCCAGGGATACCTGTTTATATCAGTTCTAGTCAACACTAACAGTGAGCTCATAAAGTTGATCATTCAGAGTATAAAGAATGACCTGGCATCGAGAAATCCTATTCACGTTAACTTGGCTCTGCAATGCATTGCCAATATTGGAAGTCGAGAAATGGCAGAAGCTTTCGGAAATGATATTCCCAAGCTGCTGGTATCAGGGTAGGTGGTTATTAACATCTGTGATTATTTATTTCTGGGTTTATAAAAGTATGTTCTTTCATTCAATAACCAAACAGGTCAAAGTTGATGATGGTTTTTCTGCCTATATTGGAGATTGCCATTTTCAAGTATCTTACATATGTTCAGGTAAGTTGTTTCGAATAGGACGGTAAAATTCTCAATATCTACAAAGACTTCAAACTATTGAAATATTGTATAATAATAATACTTTATTTTCCATGTAGACGATATACATTGTATAGGAATAGTCAATAAAAGAAGTAAAAATAAAGACGTCATTAATATTAAGAACATTCATGTTAAGCATTTTAAATAATCAAATGTGCTGGATAAACAGAATTATCACTATCAGCGTTTTCCATTGGTAAAACTAGCGCCAATTCAGTGTATTTCTATCCTATTAAAATATTATTAGGAAAGAAATTATATTGAAGATTGAGGTGTTTTTTATTTCTCTCTCTCTCTCTCTTTCTTATTGTTTTTTGTCACTACCTCCAAAGAGCATTTGGCCAGAGTCAAGTATTTCAAATTCTGAATATTCTCGTTCCGATAAAAAAACCTACAACGTCATCCTATCCACAAAACGTAAATGACACATGTTATGTGGATATAAGGTTACAAGAGAATGGCAGATGGCAAACTGCTTCTATTCAGGCGCATGAATTCATTAAGTTAGAATTTATTTCATTATTTGACATCCGTTGTGCAGAGTGTTGAGTGTAAATGCGATGAGGTTGCTGTCTACAATCGCTGGTCCCAATTTATAGTCATAACTCTGAGTTCGACAATTCACATTTGTAAAGGTGAATTCATACTCATAACTCTGATTTTCACAGTAATCAATGTACTTTGTCAATTCACAATTGTAACATTATGGTTCTTTCAATGTAACAACATTTTCATCTCCTAGGGCCCTTCTATGCTACCATAGGTTGATATTCTTGGTCCAAATTACCGATCAAATTGATACATCGAACGCACCTTTTGGATTTCAGATGTCTAGTGTCATTAGTGTCAAATTTCATCTTACTTCTGTCAAAACTGTCAACACCGTCTTGGATGGTCCCTTGACGTTTCTTATAATAGAAGATTTGATTGTAGGGTGTTCCATTTCTTACCACAATTAGTTAATTTGTGAAGTAGGTAATTGAAGAATAATACGTTGTTATTTTAAGACAACCAGAAGAGTTGTATTCAAAATGTTGGTTATCGGTTATTTCTGTCAATTACTTATCTTAGGGGGAGGGTCTGAGATGACCTTTTGTATATTATTCCAGCTAGGGATGAAAAGGGGTCACTAGAGAAACATATTTGCCTTATACAGCTCTAATTGTGTTCCAGGGAATAGGAACCATGCCAGCAGTTCGAGGAGATGGCATGCGTGGCTTGGCTGTTTTTATATCAGATATTAGAAATTGTAAGTATAATTTCAAGAGAGTTCGAATTCCTTAAGAAACTTCATATAAAATTTCAGGTAAAAGTAAAGAAGCAGAAATAAAAAGAATTAATAAGGAACTGGCAAATATACGAAGCAAATTCAAAGGAGACAAAACTTTGGATGGATACCAGAAGAAAAAATATGTCTGCAAGTTATTATTTATATTTTTACTTGGCCATGACATTGATTTTGGTCATATGGAAGCTGTGAATCTTCTGTCATCTAACAAATACTCAGAAAAACAAATTGTAAGAACTGTATACACACATATTTAGATATTTACCAGAAATATCTTTTGGTGGAGATTTCGAAAAGAATATTCAAACTGAAAACTGGTTTATGCAACACTATCTGAGAAATAAATCTAATGACTTATTTGTAAGGTAGTATTGGAAACTGTCATTGAAATAATGTAAAGAAAACACTTTCAACGGCAAGGCAGNTTTTGGCATATTGACAATAAGAACAACGATTTCGTATTTAAATTGTTTTGTAATATATAATTGTCTATTGGAAGTTGATCAAGAAGCATTTAAACGATATTACATTCGTTTTTGAAGCGTTCAATGGCAATAGATTATCATCACATCAACTTTTTACCTAAACTAAATCTGACACCTGTCTGATATAATCCAACGCCCTTCGTGGTATTAGCCAGGGAAGTACTTGTTTTCTGATTGGCTCAGGAATTGTTCCTTTAGATGATTTGATTTACAGTTATCTCATTTACTTCAAATGTAATATCCACATCCATGTCAATATCCTCTTGGATCAGATGACAATAAATATTATCATTATTATTACATGATCTCTGGGGGTGTTACTTTGTTTTGCACAGCCATATGGATGTGTCAAATATGATTTTTTTATTTTTTCGTTTTATTAGTTGGTTTATAATGATCTGAACACATCTGTATGTTTCTTCGGGAGCCTAATTTTATCGAATTTTCAGAGATACAATGGATGTCGTCAAGCAGAGCGCAGCTCTCTGTTTGTTGCGATTGTTCAGAACATCGCAGGAGATAATTCCAGGCGGGGAATGGACTTCTCGCATCATACATTTACTCAACGATCAACATATGGGGGTCGTAACAGCAGCTACAAGTCTGATTGATGCCTTGGTCAAGAAAAATCCAGACGAATATAAGGGATGTGTTCCCCTTGCAGTTTCCAGGCTCAGCAGGGTATGTATAATGCATAGGTAGGTTCAAAGTGAGTGGGTCTATTTGACCCACCACTGCAACCCGCGAGGGTTCATTGTGGCTAACACATATTCAGAATCGGTGAAATGGATCTTTCTTCTGAATAAAACAGATTAGCTCGTTTGGCGAGTGATCTTTCAAGTCAGGCAAAAATGAAACTCTGCCAAACACTGAAAACCTGATTCGGATTGCGGCGGGGCCGGCGAAGACTATTGTGCTCTGCTGTTTCGTCGTCTTCCAAACAGAAACGGCACTCACTGCTTTCCAACATCTTCATATAGAATAGCAGAATAGAATATATGCAGAGCTGTATATTTATAGCAAGTCACAAAATGGATTCATCGATAAAAGTATTGGCAAAATATACAAGTAAATAATAGTATATTATTCAACGAGGGGAAATAATAGCGTCGTAAATCATTCGAGCGAGTAATGCCCATTTTTTGACTCAAGTAGAATACTTTACTCTTTCTATGACTTATTTCAGGAATATTTTAAAATAATTGAGCCTCCAACAGAGCCTATAAACATGAGCATGCTGTAAATCAGATCCAGCCTTATCCCTCTTTAAACATCACGGTGAAACAGACCTCACAAAGAGCTTCAAAACACTAAAACCGTTGTCACTGAAGAAACTCCCCAGGTCAGGATAATACACAAAGCTATTGAAATTGAAAAACGCTCCAACTGCCTTAATAAACAAAATGATTCACAAAAAAGGCCTCATTCATGGAGATCATTACTGTCACGCCATACTGCACACCTCCCTTTCCCATGTCACAACCGGAACATCTGGTCCCACAGTTGATGCTTAGGAGTAGGCAGATTAAGACCCCCAGCGTCCAATAACAAAATTCTTACAGCGTCTCGATACCTGAAGAGTAGGCAGACTGAGACATCAGTGTAGTGATAGCTTGAAAAATGACTTCAAGACCAAAACGTTGAACAACTAAAATATTGAATAACTAAAAACACCAGCCCAAGAGTGTTTTAAATACATTCAGAAGTAGTTTTTCCGTTCATATTATTAATACAATTTTTTTTTCCAGATTGTTACAGCAAGTTATACAGACCTACAAGATTACACATACTATTTTGTTCCAGCACCTTGGCTCTCTGTCAAACTTTTACGTTTACTGCAGAATTACACTCCACCAGGTAACCGCTCAATATATCCTTTGGGAGATTATTGAAATTTTAAATAATTTTCTTTAGCTGAAGACCCTGGCGTAAGGGGAAGACTTAACGAATGCCTAGAAACAATTTTGAATAAAGCCCAGGAACCACCAAAATCGAAGAAAGTCCTAGACTAATACTCAAATGTCTATAGCCTTATTAGCTCACTTCGTACCGCACTTTCAACTAGACTAGCCTCATCTGCCTGTTTGTAGTACTTATATATCCCAATGGAAGACTTTGGAATATTCTATAGGCGACGCGACACCTAGAAGGATCGAGAATACACGTAGGGTTGAGCGCGACCATGGCCAAGTCATTGATCGGTCAAGACCAGTGGCGGCAGGCGTTATTTTTTTCGGGGGATAATTTGCAACAATATAATTGGAATGGGGGAAATTTGTGGCCAAGTGAAACCACTCCGGGCACTATAATTGATTTGATTGTAGCTAAATTGAAGTTAATTTTACCTTTCAATGTGATGAAAATACACAATTTCAAATTTACAGTGAAGCTAATTTGCTAGTGAGAGCTTGCAATCAGCTTGGTCAGTTTTTGAGTAACAGAGAAACCAACCTGAGGTATTTAGCGCTAGAGTCGATGTGCCATCTGGCTACCTCAGAATTTTCACACGAAGCTGTCAAGAAGCACCAGGAGGTTGTAATCCTGTCCATGAAAATGGAAAAAGATGTGTCCGTACGGCAGCAGGCAGTAGATTTGTTATACGCTATGTGCGACAAAAGCAATGCTGAAGAAATCGTACAAGAGATGCTGAATTATCTGGAAACTGCCGATTATTCAATAAGAGAGGAGATGGTTCTCAAAGTGGCCATTCTTGCAGAAAAATATGCGACTGATTATACATGGTAAGTAGGCTTATTTGTTAAGCATAGTATAACATTTATATGTAACTGCTTAAACTTTTTGTGAAAAAATGCTTTCAAATGATAGATTTTGATAAATTTATTCCTCCATCGAAAACAACGTGGAACCATTGGTGATAGCTTAAGTTGTACAGCTAACTGGTTTCTAATCATTGTACACCTAGGACCTCCATCAGTAAATGTAATTACTTTACCCGCACATAGTTTTACTGGGGCAAATCTCAGCAACAATTTTTTCTTGATCATTGGTGTTGGATTGATTAGCACAAAAGCCCACTTTTGTCCTGAGTCATCCAAAACAGACAAGCAAAAGATGAATATCGTTCCTGACACGCGTGTTGAGCCTTGAATTCTGACATATTTATATTTTGCTCAAGAGTATTTTTGTATTTGAGACAGCATTCTTCGTAGTTATATAACTAAAAGCATTCAAATTAATAGGATTTCAATGTATCTTCTTCAACAGTGCCATTTTTTTTCTTTTAAAATATGTTGTTTAAAATATGTTTTTCTGTTAACCAGCTATCACACAGATTATTAAGTGATTAATGAATAGAATTACAAAATATATCTTCAACACATAGTGTTTTTGCATATTCCATTTATTTCTCATGGGTTTCAGGTATGTAGATGTAATTTTGAACTTGATAAGAATAGCTGGAGACTATGTATCAGAAGAAGTCTGGTATCGTGTCATACAGATAGTGATAAACAGAGACGAAGTCCAAGGGTATGCTGCAAAAACTGTATTCGAAGTAAGTTTAATCAACAAAATGTTTCATGATTGAAGAAGCTTATCGTGAGAAGTTTCTCCCTAGTATACTTCCGAAATTGCGGAAACGTTCAAAAATAATTTACTATGACAGGTTTTTTAAACAGTACAGATACAGATACAGATAATTTATTCATCATTGAAGTTTTTTACACAATGGTACAAAACTTATCAGACTAGTCAAAACATATTATAGTATTACAACTTATAAAAACATTATAGAGCTCACAAGAAAATATGAAAAACTCACAGACAGTGCATCAAACAGTGAGGTACTCCTCTATTGTATAAAAAGTATTTTCACTAAGGTAATTGAATAATGTTGTTTTGAAGGTATTAAAATTTTTTATCTCACCAAAGATCCTATTGAAACGGTTATGAATTCCTTGGTATTTTGGAGAATTCTGTCCCACACTAAGCCCAGAGAATGGTAAGCGAATGTCATTTTTATTCCGTGTTTGGTGTTGGTGAATTTCACTACTTTTCATGTAGGAATCTTGCTCTTTTTTAATATTCATAATTAGAAGATAAATATAAAGTGATGGTAAAGTTAGAATTGACAGTGACTTGAAATAAGCTTTACAAGATACATTATTTCGAACTCCCATCATGCATCTTATGATTTTCTTCTGAGCAATGAATACTTTATCAATATGTGTTGAATTACCCCAGAAGATCAAGCCATATGTGNGATAGAAAAATTCCGTTTCCTTATATACTCAGCTTTACCTCTGACTTTTTGTATTTCAAAACAACATTGCTGCAATGTATGATCTGATAAATGAGTACCGATAATGCTTTTGTATTAGAAAAAATCACGTCAATCCCTGAAACTGTGGTTCGTGTGATTCGTGTGGGTTTATCAATATGATTTGTCATACCAAACTCGTTGAATAAATTTATTATTTCAACTGTTTCTCTGCTATGTTTTAGAAAATCTACATTAATATCGCCACATACGATTTAATAATATTCCTTACGATAAATGTTGTTCATCAAATCATACACTGCATCTATAAAAATGTTACTATCACTGTTTGGTGTTCTATATGCAGTTATAATAAATAGTTTAGATTGACCATTCAAAACATCTAACACAGCAATACTAATTTCAGAATGTTTCTCTATGCAATTATTGTACTTCACAGATTTGGCTGGAATATTATTTTTAGTATAAATAGAATTAACCTCCATGGTCAGAGTCTTTGCGACAAAAACTACTTATCAGTTTGTAACCAGGTATAAAGTTTTGAAATTATCGAATATCGTGGATAAAAACTGTGGAAAAAAAAACATTTTTTAAGAAAAAAAACTTTTAGTGTTTATCATCTTCGTTTGAGCTTTGTGCTTTTTTCATTAAGATCTAATTGTGGTTTTCAGGCTTTGCAGGCTCCAGCTTGTCACGAGAATATGGTGAAAGTGGGTGGCTACATTCTTGGTGAATTTGGCAACTTGATTGCAGGAGATCAAAGATCTTCCCCTTCGGTTCAGTTCCAACTGCTTCATTCCAAATACCATCTCTGTTCCCCCATGACCCGTGCGTTACTGCTTTCTACGTACATCAAATTCATAAACTTATTTCCTGAAATACGAACCCAGGTACAGGAGGTGTTCAAACAGCATAGCAACTTACGCTCCGCAGATGCCGAGCTGCAACAGAGAGCGTCAGAATACTTGCAGCTGAGTATCATTGCTAGTTCTGATGTACTCGCTACGGTTCTCGAGGAGATGCCGGCCTTTCCAGAAAGAGAAAGCTCTATTCTTGCTGTGCTGAAGAAGAAGAAGCCCGGAAGAGTGCCAGAAAATGAAATAAAGGAAAATAAGAGTCCTACTCCAGTTACCAATCATACCAATGATGTAAACAACACCAAGTAAGTGCTTTAGAAGTGATGGAGACCTTCGATTTCCCAAGAATCGTGAAAAAAAGGTTTTGTTGTTTTCTTCCCAACACCAAACCGTTGTTTTTAACACCTCGACACGTGTTTCGATCACCAAGTGATTATCTTCAAGAGGAAGAGTTTAATAATCTTCCTCTTGAACACCTCCCAATACCAAACCATTATTTTTAACACCTCGACACGTGTTTCGATCACCAAGTGATCATCTTCATAAGTAAGAGTTTAATAATCTTCCTCTTGAATACCTCCCAACATCAAACCATTATTTTTAACACCTCGACACGTGTTTCGATCTCACCAAGTGATTGGTGATTGAAACACGTGTTGAGATGTTAAAAATAACAGTTTGGTGTTGGGATAAAATTCCAGTAATATTCATCACTACACCAAAGGTTCCAAACAGTGTATCACAAGTTTTAGAGAAACCAACATAGGATTTTCACTTACCATGGTCAAAATATCAAGAGGCCCTGTATAAATGTAGTATCCATGAATTCCAAAAGAGAAAAGTAAATATTTAAAATGAAAAATCTTGTGGACATAATATGGATTGTGTAGTTTTTCATTTAAAATTTTTGCAAAAAGTATGAACACAAGTTTTTCTTCGGAACAAATTGTTTTTTTCGTTTTATTCACAAAAACTTGCTTTGGAAAAATTTCATTAGTTTCTAAATATAATGAAATTTGTTGCCCGCGCATTTTTGTGTTTGTAGATGAACAAGAAAATTGTAACGCAATAAATCAGGATAATACAGGCACCAAATGACTTGATTCTCAATGAACAAAAAACAGAAACTCTAACTTTTGAAACAATTTGCTTAAATCGAGATTACCAAAATCCTACCAAATTTTTGGGAGTACAAATAGATTCCAACCTGAAATGGATAAACCATATAAATAGCATGTGTAGTAAACTTAGTAAGACAGTTTTTGTTATCAGAAGAATTAAAAAAATAGTATATCAAAGTGCGGCACTTGCAACATATTCACTTTTTCATTCAGTCCTTAGGTATGGTATAATCAATTGGAATAATGCATCAAAGGTACATCTTAATTGAATATTTGTCATTCAAAAATATGCGGTAAGAAGCATAATCTCTGCCAAATATGATGAATAGTGCCGACCAATATTTGTAAAACTTAAAATAATGACCCTATATCCAGTTATTGTCTATGAAAATGTGCTTCTTGTTCAACAAAACTTGATGAATAAAGTTGCTCACAAGGATATACACCAACATGAAACAAGAAATAAATCAAACCTTGTTCCTAAAGCTAATACACAATGCTTTATCTGTCGAATTTCATAACTTGCCATTCGGAAGATTCAAAAACTTATTAAAGAAAATATTAACCAAACATCCTTTATATGAAATTAATCAATTTTTCGAAGTTATTCAAGAAGAAAGAGACATTTTTGTAGTCACCTCCCGAACTTTTAATCAACTTTGAATATATATAATATGTTAGCTGTGTGATTTATAATTTGTAAAAGCTCATGGCTTTACATTTTAGTCTATTTTTATAAGATTGGAATTTTATCGTGTTAACTTGTATTTTTTTGTAAATCTAATTTATCTACAAGCATTTTTTAGAAACTATATTGACGAATCTTATCCTCTCAAACCTATTTTAGAAATTGTATTGACGTGTCTAAAAACTGTGTGTTTCTTGAGACTAATAAAATTATTATTATTATAGTCAATTATCAGTTGAAATTTTTTCTCCTTTGAAGCAATTGTTTGATGTGCTTTGTAAAAAATATTATTGTAATGAGTTTCGTCAAATTTTTGGATAATTAATTTAGACTATTTGTCACAAACAGTTACTGTTTAAAAAAAAGATTCAATAAGTGGGCCAGTCTGTGACTCTGAATTTAAATAAGCTCGGGAATTGTCAACTTTTTCCTAATTTAAGTAACTTTGTTTCTGTCACGGTTTTCGATTTTTGTATGATGGCCCCCTTCCCTTATTTTGCGCACTCACATTCATGACATATTTTTTATTATGGTACAGCACCAACTCAGCAGACCTCTTGGGACTATCGACACCTCCTACTTCTCAGCCAAATTCTGGCAACACAGGCGTGCTTCTTGATGTCTTAGGCGATATTTATAGTGGAAAACCGATTAACAATAACGGTACCGTGTCCTCCAATAAGAATTGGATTGTTGACCCTAAGAAGTAAGTGAACGAAGTATTTTTAAATTTCGCACCTTTGGATTGTACTGGGAAGCTAAGAGGTCAATCTACCATTTACTGTTGACATTAGAAAATTCAGAAAAAAATTACATTTGTTATTTTGCATTATGTCTTGACAACATCTCATTATATTTGAATATGTTCCTCCAAAAACACTAGATTGGCACAAATAACATTTGCAAGAACCCGAGTCGGATGTTTTTTGTTTAATTTAGATTATTACGCGTTGGGGTAGCACAATGTTCATTAAATCCTGGTGCCTGTGATTTTCTCACACTTTTTAATAAATTTCTTGGTGACATAATCTTTGAAATAGCTGATTTAACTGTCATTGGATTTGGAATTAGTGAAATGATAAAATGTTTACAGTAAAATGAAATTCATGAGACTAACCTAACCCAAGTTTGTTGTATCGTAAGTTTATTCTTCATCATCATTTCAAATTCTCTTTTATTTTGTTCAGTAAGACTCAACTGATTGACTTTTCAGCTGCCTTAATTTTTGCTCTATTTCATCGATGATTTAAGACAATACTGATGATGCTTTTCTTCAGATTTGTTTGTAAAAATAACGGCGTTCTGTTTGAAAATGACCTGATCCAAATCGGAGTCAAAAGTGAATTTCGCCAGAATTTGGGACGTCTTGGACTATTTTATGGGAACAAAACAAGTGCGCCTTTACAAAACTTTATTCCTACGTTATTGTGGCCAGAAGAAAACGTTTCTAAAATGAGTATACAAATGAAACCAGTTGAACCGGTATTGGAAGCAGGAGCTCAAATACAGCAGATGATAAACGCCGAATGTATTGATGATTATACAGGTATTGTCTATAAAAATTGTTTAAAATTCAGTGTCAAAGTCTTCGTATTCCAGATGCTCCTAGTATAGTGATTAACTTTGTATGTAATAAGGTCCCGCATAAAATAAGCATAAAACTTCCCCTTACCATAAATAAGTTTTTCGAACCAACCGAGATGAACGGCGAGTCATTTTTCGCTAGGTGGAAAAATCTTGGAAAGTAAGTTGACTCATACTCGATCGTAGAAATATATTTATTGACTATTTTCCAGTACCAACCAGCAAAGGTCTCAGAAAATATTCAAAGCTTCAGCACCTATGGATCTTCAGGCAGCCAGAACAAAGATAATGGGTTTTGGAATGCAGCTTCTAGACGGCATCGACCCAAATCCTGATAATTTTGTTTGTGCAGGTATTATTCACATGCGATCACAGCAAGTGGGATGTCTTCTACGCTTGGAACCTAACAAAAATGCTCAGGTTAGTGGAAAAAAATCGAAAATTAAATACTTCAAGAAAGTTATAGGATAAAAGAACTATTTTCATCTATACTTGAAAATGCGAAAGTCGCTCACTTAACACTCACTCATTAATATTCATTTCTCCATACTGGTGAGTCCTAGAAAACTAAAATTTGCTATATAGATGCTTCTTAGGTCTTAAATGCCCACCAAGACAGGGTTTACAAATATGCGAACTGGGGCACCCCCCCGTGGGGGTAAAAGGGGAGCGTTTATATATAAAAATTACCTTTTCATCACTGCTTCACCACCGCTATATTTTCATAGGCAGACATTTTGTATGAAGGTTAGTTTCATGTTGTAGATGTGCACTAGGTAGATAGGTCTAAAGTGAGTGGGTCTATTCGACCCTCCACCGCAACCCATAAGGGTTTATTGTGGCTCACACCTATTCACACTCGGCCAAATAAACCCAGCCTCTTAACGAAGCCGATTATACATATGCTGTATAAGAATACAGCAACCGCAACTAATGTTCACTAAGGAAGGATTTTTAAATATTCCAACTGCGGCACCCCTCTTTGAAATAAAAGGGGTGCGTTTTCATATGAAAATTACCTTTTCATCACCATTTCTCCATATCGCTATATTTCCAGAGGCTGAAATTTTGTATGAAGGTTTGTTTTATGTTGGAATAAGAAAGGATTTCTAAATATTACAATTTTTAAGATCTTTGAGGTAGCGATTTTGAAACTGCAACAAGGTGTTGACAGCAAGGATGAAGGTAGTATCCAGAAGAAGTATCACTGAAGATGTTTGCTGCAATAACAGACGAAACATTTATTGCTACAAGCCTAAATTTTGTTCTTTCTATGACTCGAGCCGTGAAAAGCTATGTTTTCGATTTATTATTATTGATGTTATTACAGTAATTGTTTTTTCCTTTCAGATGTACAGGTTAACTGTTCGGTCAAGTAAAGAGGCCGTTTCTGTCGAATTGTGTGATCTCCTAGCTGATCAGTTTTAAGCGACGTGGAAGGGTCATAGAAAATGTGTGCATTCCACTAGTTCATAAATGTAAATGATCATCTTTTATAATTTTAAAAGTGCTATATTTTGTAGTTGTCCTTGAAGCTTTATCAAATCGTGTCGCAAATATAATTTAGTAGCAGTGGTACAACCTCCTGATATTAGATCTAAAACAGCTGTTACTATGTGGTAACATTTGTTGTGTTTTGTTGTCATCCAGATTTAGTTAGTCATTCCTAGTTAGTTATTCACTATCTCTGCGTGCGGGAATGACGAATCTGGAATAGGTTTAGTATGAACAAAACAAACCTATTGCACGGGTTAAATCAGGGTCAAAAAGTTGATGTCTCCCTCTGTTTGATGGGCAATTCATATACCATTTGAGTTGTTCAAATAACAGTGCTTGTGTGTATAAATGAATGGCAATGGTCTCTCCCCTAATTTGATTTGTCTTTATATACATAAATCCAGTAGAGAAACTTCACAGTCTAATATAAATATTCGTTTCAGAAATATATTTTCAAAATGTATAGGTTAGGTATAGTTGTTCTTCTAATCAGTTGAATGTTTCATTGGTCCATAGTTACAATGTTATTATAAGATATCTTTCGAAATAATCTACTCGAAATTCCTTGTGAAACGAATAAGGAAAAATAAGTACACAATGCAAATGAATCTTCTTGCTTGGTGACCAAATAGCGTTACAACTCTAAAATGATTTTGATATATTCATTAATAGTATAATGTTATTTTTCTGGTACTTTGACACTAATCTTTGTTCCACTGTTACCAATGAGACAATATAACAAAATGTGTGTGTGATGTTCACTTGTATATTTCTAGAAATATAATATATTGATTTTATTCGCCTTGTTTCAGTTTTTTACATGAATATATTGCTTATACTATTCAAAATTATACATTTGTTAAAGTAAGATGAGATTTTCATGGCATTTTAATTACTCTCAAAATATATTTATCGTCTTCGATTTGTTAATAATTTTTTTATTATACGAACATATCATTCCGTCACAAGATAAACGAGATATCGGAGACATAGAGAAAAATTTGAAGTCTGAATCATCATACGAAAGATTTCGAAAAAGACGGAAAAGACACTGTATGCATATAAAACAGAAGTGACTGCTTATCATATCATAATCTAACCTAATGTATATGCAACTACTATCTATTACTAATTTGTAAACGTAGCAATAAGTTGTTTTTGATATGTCCTTTCCCGAATTTTATTACGATATGATGGAAAGTTTAGTTTCTGTTCATTAACAATTCTTTTAAGTGACATATCTTCGGTATTATTTCTGTTCTGCATCTTTATGAAATTTTATAGATTCTACGAGACGATTTGCTGATATAATGTTATGATTGAGAGAGTTTATATTATTTATCTAGTGTTTCCCTAATAAATTTCTATAAATCAATGACACGATTCCAGAGCAATATCTCATATACTTCTGTCTTCTAATATAATGATTTTGGATTTGTAGATACCCATATTTCTTAGTTAATGTTGATAAGTCGAATTTCAGAACAGATTTTTTTTTTATTATTACGTTAACCTCAGAAATACAAATTTACCAAAGTATCAATCGTATCTAACTACAATTTTTTTAAAGAGTTTTAAATTTAATATGCATGATCTCGATGATATGGTACTCTCTGAATTCGGAAACTATAACATATTGGGATTCAAAAAGGAACTTTTCGACATTTTGTTTTCAAATATAACGTCAAATAGTTGTTTTTCTTTTTTGGATTCAAAAATGAGGATATTATTATTATTAATTTTTTGCAATAAGTGTTACTGACAAGCTGTCTAAGTCTCCTGAATTTTTTTAAGCTAATTACTGAAAATGTTTTTCATATTCGACTTATTTTAGAAAGTATTTTGATTTTAGGATGATAACCCACAAATGTGTAGAATAAACTTTCTAACATCGACTCAAAAATCAACTTTTGTAAACACAGTTTGAAAATATTTCATCATTTATCAGTTTCTAGCAATATTTTCATGTATAAATGTAATACCTTTGCATGGAGATCTGTTCTAATCGAATTTGGTAACTGTGAATTTTTCTGACATGTAGATTTATCATAGATAAAGAAATGTCGCTTCTAAGTATCACAGCAGGTATAAGTGTAATGTATAAAATATGTCACTTCTACCTGATAATTTAGCTTATCATATTTTTCTAATTTGTAGATTTTTATTATTTAGAGCATTCAGTTATTGTAGATTATATATATACATATATTCATCTAGTTCCTCTGTAATTCGCAAGGATTGATTGTGGTTCCTCGTGGGAGGTTACAGTGACCTGTGACAAAGCTGCAGCAGTAATTTGGCTTGATAATCCAGCTAAGATGATGACGAAACGTCGATCTTCAAAAAAACCACGGCTGGGTGAATACTCGGAAAACAACCCCAGGGTTCAGTATTCAAAAATATTTCAGAATATAAAGCTTTATTAAAAAAGCTGAATTTTTGCTTCAATTTTAAAACTTCGACTACCTGAATCATAATCACATAGGTTTTGTAGATAACCCATGGTTGTACAGGCGGTCATAATATTATGCACAAGTATGAAATAGTAGCAGAATTGATTGTTTCCAACATACAAAGTGTCGTGTCAAAGTCACTTGAATTTTGTTTGAACATTTCAGAAGCCCTGAGTTGATTGATTAACCAGAAATTGGATTATCTTTTTTGTCTTTTGAATAAATGACTAAGAATAATACATGTTTCATTCATATTTAATAATATAATTTACATATGAAAATGTATTATCTATACAGACACCCTCGCATTTGTTCACAAACATAGATATACGTATACACTAAAACATGGAATCGGCAATAGCTGATTGGTCGGTGTTCAGAGATACGGGTACCTACATTTCTTTTCGTGGTTCCAATGTAGACCGACCCGCAGCTACAAGGAATCCAATATACCCTTGGCGTTGCTTAAGGTTCTCTGGGATCTTTAGCTGACCTTAGACTTTGTCTGATGGTTTTCGTTGGCCTAAATGTTGGTTTCACGTCTCCATTGGAACCACGAAAAGAAGTACCTGCAAAGGTACCCGTCTGTCTGAACACAAGAGAAATTATCGACTTGGATAAACCGACGCATCAGTTTTAGCAGAACATGCTCTTAAAGAAGGCACTTGCATTATCTTATTCGCAGATACAGTAACACTCCATAAAACTCAAAATCACTCTCCAAGAGTATATAGAGAGGCAATAGAAATTCAAAAACAGGGATAATTTCAATAGAAGAGGCAATGAACATTAATGAAATCTCGCTACCTGTCCTTAGGGGACAGGTAATCCAATCCAATTAAAAGAAATATAAAACCAGAGTCAAATACGAGCATCGTAGTTAAGTGTAAAGTACCTCGGCGTTCTAATAGACCGTAGGCTCACCTGAAACCCACACATTGAATCCGTCAAAACAAGGATCGAGGGTCGGATCCGAAGTATGTACCCTCTGATCAATAGTGGATCCAAATAAGGCCTAAAAAATAAAACTACGATCTACAACACGATGTTCAAGCCTGTCATCATGTATGTATCTCCATTCTGGAGAGACTACAAAATAAGCTAATACGGATGATTGAGAATGATTCGTGATTCATCCCTAAAGATTTACATCTGCCTTTCATTCAGCAGTCCATTCAGTCGAGGAATCGGGGAATTTATGATTGCGCAGAAACTCACGATAATCCGTTAGTTAGGGAAACTATAGATATGCTGTAAACGACCCCTTCCGATATAGAAGGCCCCGATACTCTGTCGAATGGGACCCTCATGTCCCCCGTTAACTCTTTCAGGGGCAAACATTTTTAGAAAAAGAAGGTCCTAAAGGGGCAACACCATTTTATTCACTTTCAAATCACAAAAAAATGCATAGCATAAACAGAACTGATAATCGAATGATGTTAGAATAGTTTTTTTGGACTAAGGTCTCCTGGTTTTGTGGAAAAATGATGGTATATATTTTGTACCACTGCCCAGCACTAAGGGACATCACTGTTTGTTATGGAAATCTTGGAAACATGATTTCTTCTTCCCTAAACAGAGTGGTACTTGACATACCGAACATATCCAATCTGTACGAATTTGTTTTCTTGATGTGCTGCAATGTGCACAACGACGTCAACGTAGCCCTTTCTGGTTGATGAGCGCTCTCGGTTGTTCTTATTTCGAGGGGCACATGTGGTTTCGACTTTATTCATAATGACAGGTATGTATTAAAATGAAATGTGCGTCCCAAGAATGAAACTGCGTATCTATAAATCAAGTTATAATTGATATGATGATTCAAATCTCTCTGACCTTTCTCACATAAACTTTCGTTCTGTTCCTGGTATTAATCCGTTCAATATGACTCATTTATGAAAAGATGCCATATTTTAGAGACAAAGTTTCTGAGGTTAAGAAGAAAATTCCAGAATTGGCCTGAATGCCATTTGAAGTTAATGCATGAAGAATTCAGAAGAGCGTGCCTACTGTTTACTATTATGCAAAAAACAGAAAGAAGAAAATGAAGCGATATAGGCAATCATCAGCATGGAAAACAGTTCAGTCAAGAGGAAGAAGAGCAATGAAGGAGGACGAGAAGATGATGAAAAATGGAATAGAAAAAAGGACAGGAATGCAGTCAAACTAAGGTTATTGTAGAATCAAAGAGAAGAAAAAGTGGTATTCCTGGATATGCTTGACTACAAATAAGTAGGGGGGAAGAAGAGAACATTTTTGGGAATTGAGAAAATTCTCGAAGAAACAGTGGAAGAATTTCAGCAAGTAGTTCGAAAAATTGAGAAAAAGTTCTTAAATTCAATAATGTCATGAAAAAAAATGGTAAACCGAAACTAATAGCCATGCAACAATCGGGTTATCAGGCCTCCCACTTGTGATGGTGAAATATCCTGATCTATTTATCGTAGACAGTTTGAAGAAGAAAAACAACATAAATATTCACTTCTCAATTTTCACCTTTTATTTTTTGGTATAATTTATGAATACCTTAAACTTTCTAGGCAAAAATACGAATCGAATGACACCTTGGTCGTAATTTTTGGACAGGGCTGAAAAATGTTACAAAAAAACGTACATGTGAACTAGACTATATATTATAGTTTATACTTTTATTCAAACTACCGAACAACTTCATGTCGGAATCCCTGGAAATTAAGGAGCTGATAATGCAGCTCGTCAAGGTACAACCGAATTAGAATGGAAAAGTAATAAAGGGAAACTCAAAGCTTTCAAACCCAAAGTAGACAAAAGAACTCTTTATGAAAATTGGCACACCCGTCTCACTTCATCATACCTATTACGCGGCGATAGACCATAAGTATGCAATATTTGCAATAGAATAGAAACGGTCCGTCATATCTTAATCGAATGTCAAGTTCACGAACAACTTAGACTAGACGGACACTGTGCATATGGCTACCACACTACAAGAATGTTTGTTGAATGATATGACCCGAATCAAAAATACGTTGAACTTTATAAAACACAGTACCTTCTACCAAAAAATATAACTGAGAATTGACGTTTCGGTAGAAAACTCTAGGTACTATCTGTTCTAATCGAAT